TCAAGCAATCCCATTATGTCACTTCCATCAACTGTGCAAATCATCAACATCCCTTTTTCTCTCAATTCTGTATTGTAACAGTGKACCAACGCCTCCTCCACGTCTATATAGTACAAACAATGGATAAAGTGTACTATATCAAACTTCTCATCACCTTTCGGCTSGACTGCGTAGTCTTCAAATGTTCTCGGTGGATCGAGGTCGAAGGCTACTTCTTCACTCTTGAATTCTTCTTGTAGGCTTTCAACTGCAGCTTTGTAGATGTCCAAGGCGTTTTCATTAGGTTCTATAGCTCKGTTAAGCATTTTGATTGGTCCAACCGCCCCTTGCMGCTCTTTTAAACTTGTAAAATTACCTTTGATAATCTTTAGGATTTCTAAATCATTTTCACCGTTTCCACTTCCAATGCTTAGGATGTTGATTTGGCTCTGTTTCTTGAGGTCGTARCCAATGGCGGCGATGGCTGATGGTAAAATGTCGTTTAGAAGCTCATAGAGGTTTTCGTTTTGTCTAGTTTTGTYGATGAAGAATTTGAGCCGACGTCGATACTCGGTTTCACTGTTCTTCCARTGCAGGTTCGCCATGACTGTCTGGAATAATGTCTGCGAGTCTTGAATTTCTGCTTTGTCTTACACGAAGCTGTGTCACACTAACAGGGACATAAGCTACGTAGGTCACCCCATAAGAACATCCAGGCCTCCTCCACAGGCGACTATTTTTTCCCCATTTGGGCCTCCTTTGTAACGGTCATATCTGGGGTTTATTTTGGCTAAGAGATCATTATAATGTATTTTGATTTAAATTTTCAAAGACAAAAAAAAAAGAGTTCACTTTTTTCTTTTTCTCACTAAATAAAATGTCAAAACAACAAATATACTTATTCGAGGATTTTCCAATATATTTTTGCATTTAATAAATGACAATTTAAAGGATTAATTCGAAATRTCAGCTAYCCTGTTTTCAGYCACATAGGTCGCCGGTCATCAGACTACTTCAGACAATACGATCTACTTTGAAGATATCAAATATGAWGACAAGCTTTGACAGGCTTTGATCCCAGAGCATTTCATTCATATTTTGGAYYCTTCAAAATTATYCGCTCCATAGATTTCATCTGGATGTTATCCCGCCGCTGGATAAGAGTTCGCTTTTGTATTATAATAACTTTCTACTCGTAATTTGCAAAGTATTTCCCATCTTTGCTCACAGAATATATATTTTTAGATTAAACTATGTTACGTTAGCCTGCGTGCAGCCGAACCAAAACTTGGTTACGGATCACTATCGTGAAATTTATAGAGGCGACGTTATTTTTTCTGGGTCATGCACCTACTTTGAAATTCAGGCGAGAATAAGCTTAACTCAATCACCTTCTCATCCGTATACCATGAATCCTAAACTCAATTATCAATTGCTTTGTAATTGATCGATGATAAGATATCTCATTTATGTCATAGAACATAACGGCCGATGCAAAAAGCTACAATCGCTCCCGACTGACCATCATGGTTCAATATCTCTGTGAAGTGAAAAAGAAATACATTTTACCAAGCTCTGTATTTGTGCCTAAACCAAAGGTAGGACACAGTTTCAGTTGGTCTTCTTGGCAGCCTGTGACACAGGATGCYCGGCTTTGTTTAGAAACAGGCTGAGAAGGAGGTTGATCAGGGGGGCGATAACATAAAAATGACGATAACATTGTGTATATCGGTGATTATAGGAATKTATAGCAGTGACCATCAACGAATTGCCTCAAAAAAGTTATCCATGGTAACCATATTTGGTAATCTTGCCTCACTTGGAAGTTCGTGTGGACTGGTTTTTGGCAATAGGCCATTTGTATTATGGCGTAACTTTACTACAACTACCAGAGAGCCTTGCGCATTTTCATTGTTATTCAGATTTTAAATCCCCTTGGAGATTAATAAAACACTTTGGCACTAATTGCATTGCAAAAGAAAGTTGGCAAAGCACTCTGGTAGTTGTAGTAAATGACGCCATAAAGCAAATCGGTTATTTTCTTGACTTTGAAAGCTTGAAATCTGTTGAAACTTGCAGATATTATAGTGAAAACACTTATGAACAATCGGCCATTTAGTTTGTTTCCATATATGGCATGGATTCGCTAAAGTAACCTCGAAACTAAAATGCACAGGGATCCCGCACGACTGGCATACAATTCTTTGATGTGGCAATAACAATGAGGCACAAATTACCGGAAGGATTTTTATTTTTAATSACAGGTCGATGCTGCTCTTGTCCATTTGGTTCCACGTGTTGAACCTTTGATTTCTGTGCCATTTGCCATAGTGGAACAAATTGTYAAAGCTGTGTTTTCAATGAGACGCAAATATATTCACACGCCGCTTAGGTGAGTACCACAGTAATTGGAAAAAAATTGTGTGGTTTGCTATCGCTAAATGGGGAGATTTGGGTGAGCGGAGTATTTCCCTATCTGCCCTGGGCCGGGTTGTTCAAAGCCCGGTTAGCGCTAATCCTGGGTTAACTCTTAGAAAACCTATGGAGTTAACCCTGGATTAACGGTAACCTGGCTTTGAACAACCCAGCCCTTGCCGCTACTTATCTGCTCATGGGTACGAAGATATTAAACAACACTTTGAATGACCCGCTAACACGAGCTTGAACATAGTAAATATAACGTCCCATAAACCGACCGCTTTTTAATGGCCGGTTGCATGAGATTGAACACCTTAGTAAATTATTGCATCCATAAACCGACCGCTTTTTATTGACCGGTTATATGAGGCTGAAAATCTTCTTAGTGAACTATAAACTCCCATAAACCGACCGTTTTTTATTGACYGGTTGCWTGACGYTGAAYACYTTSTTAGTGAATTATTGCATTCCATAAACCAAGCGCTGTCAATGACCGGTTGCATGAGGCTGAACATCGTCTTAGTGAATTATAACCTCCCATAAACCGACCGCTTACATGASGTTGGACGTCCKCTTTGTAAATAATAAACTTCGTAAGGTTTAAATTTGGTCTTTGTGAATTATATAGACGACTTTTTCCCGACCGTGAGCACCTTGTGGATGACTTRCTACGACTGGCTGATGTGAACGCAGAACAAAGGGCTCATGAAATGACAATGGAAGACTTTGATAAACTGTGCTCTGCATACTTAGAGCTAGCAACGACGTTAAACCTTCCTTTGCAACCACAGAAAATGAATAAACCTCGTTTGGTGGCGGACATGATGGAATTCAACGAAGCCAATGGCATGGAATAGTTGTTATAAAATTAATCTAAATGCAAAAAAAAAAAAAGTGGTTTGGAAATTTCCATGGAATTTTCTTCGCRTATACGCAGAGTTGGCCGACTCTTTTTGCAGACACAGAAAATCAGACTATAATTCCTGAATTGGATGAAGAAAACACCTGGGAAATTAGCATGGAATTTAGTCCTGTGAATACGTAAAGTTGAAAGCAGCGTTTAAACTCCATTTTCTCCACAGAAAATGATTACACATCGCTTTTTAACGAGCATCAAATATTCGTCAAAACAAATGAYATGCCATAGATTTTAAAAGATTCAAAAGTGGAGAAGAACTGGAAGATTTCAATGGCATTTGCGAACACAAGAAGTTTTCCATACCCTCCAATCTAGGCATAGGAAGCAAGAAAAATCACAATAAGGAACACTACTTTGAATACTGAATAARATAGAACGATATTATTTTATTTAGAGGAAAAATGAAAGAAAAAAAAAAACTAAACAGAAGAAAAAAAGCGAGTTAACTTTTTTTTGAATCTCTTTAATTCAGTGTGAGACATCTCAGATATTTTAAGCTCATATTTATATTAAAATCATCAAACAAACATTAATAAAACAATTTTTTCCTGCTGTCCTATTGGATATTTCACTCTTTCCGTCAAGTAAAACAAAACAACTGAGTCTCTTTTGCAGGTGACCGCGATTATTTCCAAACCACATCGGCAAGCATTAAAATATCATCAAGATTGGACCAAATGTGCTTCTAATGTCTCAGTTATCTACTATGTAGGACGAAGTGGTATTTTTCGGCGAAAATTGTACAAAATGGATAAAAAACTTTATAAGTTTGTATTCCTCTTAGTTTTCCCTCTTTCTGTTTTAAGAAAGACTGTTTATTCTTCAYTAGTATCAGAGGTTGGTTTAACTAGAGCTGGTGATGTTATTTTTGGAGCGGTTTTTCCTATATATCGCAAAGATTCCCAAGGCGATTGCAAGCTTTTCAACAAAGATGCTTTGCTCTGGATCAGAGCTTTAAATYATGCCCTGGACGAGCTTCAAAACAGCCAAATTCCTGCTCTCCAAAACACAACTTATGGATTCCATATTAAGGATACTTGCACAAGGTCATCWCTGGAGCAAGCGTTGGAGTTTGTGTACAGTACAAAATCCAAAGAACTTAAAGAGAACTCAAGCAAAGTCATAGCTGTCCTTTCAAGTCATTATGAGAAAGATTCATCCACATTATTTAGTCTTTTTGGCATTCCGAATATGATTTTCAGTGATTTAAATGGTGGTGAACTTGGGCCATATCCAAATAAACACAATTACAATTTTGAGTCAGTGAAAATGACTTTTTACCGCACAAAGGCTGTTGTTGGTTTGCTAAAATACTTCAAATGGGATTCAGTCTTTGTTATAGTTGGTGAGAAATATACAAAGGAGTACTTAATGTTTAAACAACTTGCAGAAATTGAAGGGATATGCATTGCTGGTACTTCCAAAAGAACCGACGGTTTATTGGAGAATATCAAAAGTATGAACATTCGTACTGTTGTGCAATATACTGATGGAATATCTATGCTGGACGCTATAAGAGGTTTGTATCTAAGCCTTATCTACTAAATTTGCATGCAAAATTACGATACGGAATAGTGTCATGATATTTTGTATAAATTTGAACGAAAGCTTTTAGTACTACCTTTACCGTTGAACATTGCTATCGATATGTAATACCCATATACACCTAATTGAAGAAACTTTGTCGGGCCCAAAAAGGTCAAATCATAGAAGCTAAGACCGAAAGGGTACTTGGGAAGACAAACAATTTGMCTAATTTCATACAAACAGCTCTCCAGCATAAAAGACTCATGCTGTTAATCTTACTAGCTCTACCTGCTTTACGGTACACCGTATATGCAAATGTAATCCCAATTTAGTGGTACTCAAAATCCCTTTCGGTCKTAGCTTCWATGATGTGACCTTTTCGAACACGACTACGTTTTTTCAAGTAGGTGTATCTACCTTTCGAGAGGTTTGAGGTGGTTATACAATTATTATTATTTATTGAAACAATTTTTTCTCTTTAGATATCATATCGGTACGTCCATCACATTACGTTTGGATCGACGTCATAGGTAATGCTCAAACAATGACATCAGAATTTATAATGACTGGCGAGATTATCCTCAGTCTCCGGCCGGAGTTTAACTTTCTTAATGAACTTCGTAAATATGTCAATCCGTATTGTGAGACAGMCAAATTGRTTGGTTGCCAGCAAGCGTTGTCAGAGCAATGTGTGATTGATAAGGCAGGCCTCATTGCTTTGGGAGAAGTCAGCGAGGTCCTCTCTTCAAAAACTAAGGTGTCTCACCACTCAAAGGTTGTAAACTCCATGCAAGGGGTTTTAAATGGCGTTTTTACCATTGGTAAAGCTCTCTCCCGCAGCGCAGAGGCGCATTGCTTGGGCAAGACAAAACCGGATTGTCTTCAATCAATTTCAGGCAAAGACATAGCATCAGAGCTGGAATTTCTGTCCAGGAATCAATTCCTGGAAAGTACCAGCCGCCAGAAACCACTATTGAAGAAAAATCTATTTTCTCTGATAAGTTACTTTGGCAACGTCTCAAGTCCACGTGAAGTGGGCACCTGGGAAAATGCTTGGTTTATCAATCATGCTTCAATCCACTGGCCTGGAGGCCTGTCCAGATCCCCTATATCCACTTGCAGTCCATCATGCCCTGCTGGTTTTGTCCAGGTAGCTGAGGAAGGCCGCAAGTGCTGCTGGTCCTGCCAGGCATGTAATTATAACCAGTATATGGTCGATAATAACACATGCGCAGACTGTCTGCGCGGCTACTGGCCGTCGAGTGATTACCGAAGTTGTGAATTCAAGATACAAGTTACATTGATGTCTTGTGCAGTGGCTTTTTCGAGTGTATCTGCCGTACTCTACGCCTTAGTTTTATGAGACACAAGATATTTAACAGCAATTACTACTATGGCCTCTCAGTGTAATTTTTTACCCCATCAAGATTTCTAGTATAGTAGCAATTTTTCTGTAGTAATTCGCTCAATAGTTTATATATTTTGGAAGCGACAAAATATTTGATGTCTTAACAAATATCTTTATCAAGTTTTTTCACAATWAAGTACTTTTTTATCAAATTAAAAACCGAAAATACAGTAAAATCACTCAACTGACTAAACATTTTGTCAAAAAGCAACGTGAAATTGTGTGCTTCTTCGTATTTAGAAAAACACTTGTCAATAGAATTGTGTCAAGAAACTTTCAATACATTCTATTAAAAGTAGTTAGCTGAAAATATTTTGTCGTTTCAAAAGYGTACCATTAGCTATTAAAAAAAACAAAGCTAATCTTTATATTGCTTTGTTTATTCGTTGTTTCGAAACCATACATTGAACAATATTTGCATTCATCTGAGTTTTATATATAGTTAGGAATTTTCAAGCATTTCATTTTTAAAGTAATAAAATTCACAGACACTTTTCTCGAGTTTCAAACCATTCCTTTTCGCTTAAATATGCATTGAGTTGTTTTTGAATAGTTCTAAAGTTCATCCTTGTGATTCAGTTGAGGCGACTGTGTGAGATGGACTCGATGAACACTTTTTGGCGCCAGCAACATCAGCAACAAATATATAGTAGAGCCACTGCTATTCAAACATGGTTTTTATAAATGTTCTGTTCTTTGTTTCACTTGATTAGCTTATTTTCATCCATGACTGTGCCTATAATCCATAGMCTCACCCAATAATATCCTCGTTTATTTTTTGACAATAAGGGAAGATTCTAATACCTCATTGCTTCACTGCAAGGCTTTCAGCTTCTTCTCAAAGTTCTGATATTTTGTAAGAATCTTTCTCTCGTGTCCAGCTGGCACATGTCTGTTTGTATACAACCTCGATTCCTTTTTCGAACGTCCTTTGCGCGTCCTGGTCAACGCCGCTAATGCTGGATCGAAGTTATAATACTCGTATTCATCCAAATGAGATTCGATGGCGGACACTAGACGACGAACGTTGCTTGAACCCCTCATTGAAAAAAAATGTAATCTAGCACTGGAAAACGAAAAGTAGAAAAGCTTGCACTATAGGTAAGTACAGCGAATATAAGCTTCAGAAATGCCCAGTTTATCTCCGCTTTTAATTTAGGMGTGGTTTAAATCATGTGATTTGACAAGTGTATTTTTCTGTAATGTGATTGGTTGTTTTTACTGGGTTGTTAAGTTCACTGTTTGGGGCGAAGTTTGATATGACGGGTACTTTCTGGTGTAATTGGCTATTTTGGCGTGGTCACCTGTCGAGGGAAGTAGTTAATGTAATAAAAGATAGTTGAATTCACCTTTTATCTTAAAAAAGGAAGAAAAAGAGAGAAAATGAGAAAATTTAGTGTTGTTTCGGAAGTTGATCCTTACTCCACGGTGGTTTTCTTGCTTGTAGTGCATAAATAGTCTTTTATTTCAAGTGTTTCATTGGAAACACAAACTCGGACAGCACAATATCGCACTAGTTGTTTGTTTAATCCTTTTATGCAGGATTTAGACTATATCAGAGAGAGGATAGTTGATAAAAGAGTATATGAAAGAGCACATAAATTCAAATAAAATCACTCAGGATTTCGAGGAGTTTCTTAACGAAATTAATTAAACGAAATTCAAAATGGGGGCCGTAAAAATACAATGCAATACAATGAATATAAGGGTTATTATTGTAGAGAATTACATATTACTCTTCTTTAATTTCCTGATATTTCGTTATGTTTTGATCCCCACAATTGAACAGTCCTTTTCCATAAGGTATTTGTATTATTCCCTTACATGAGTCACGTACGTAACACACGAACGCGTTAGTGTTTTACCTTTTCGATTATTTCCTTATATTTCGTTAGATTTCAGTTCCCGTAAACACTGATTTGTTTCAATAGGCATTATCCTCTTACGTAAGTTACGTATGTACCGCACGAACGCGTTAGTGTTTTACCTTTTCGATTATTCCCTTCTATTTCGCTAGATTTCGGTTCCCGTAAACACTTATATGTTTCAATAGGCATTATCCTCTTCCGTAAGTTACGTATGTACCGCACGAACGCGTTAGTGTTTTACCTTTTCGATTATTCCCTTCTATTTCGCTAGATTTCGGTTCCCGTAAACACTTCGTTTCCTCAACGTATTGGTAAATCGCTAGATTTCGGTTCCCGTAAACACTTCGTTTCCTCAACATATTGGCATTATTCTCTTACTTAAGTTACGTATGTACCGCACGAACTCGTTTCCGTAAAGTAGTTTTACTAGTTTCTTAATGCATTTCCGTACAGTATTTATATTAGAAGACGTAAGAAACCAGTAAAACTACTTTACGGAAACGTTTCCTTTCCGCAGTTTTACTTCTCTGTTCGTGTTTTCCGTAAAGTTTTTTTTTTGTCATCTAAGAATTTATGATTAATGAAGTAATGTMACCAATACGCATCAATATGTACGAAACCACGTTTAGTTATTTTTATAAAATATCGTAGTACAATGTTAGAGTACGAACATTAAATGTGTGCAATACTTTCCACTATTTACTACAAAATAGTGTTAATTAAACAATAGAAAACAATAGAATTAGCATAATTTAGCAGTATCTAGTGGTATTTATGTTGCACAGTTTTAGTGTTTGTTACTCTATTATCCGTTTACTCTTAATTTGTGAATATGTATATCTTTAGGAAATAATAATATAACAATTASAATACTCTTAGTGATCAGTTTTAGTATCGAACCACATGACCAGGCCCAGGCTCCCCTAGACAATTTTTCAAACTTTGTATGGGCCAGCATTCCTTTTGTGTCAGCGGWATGTCGTCTTCTTTGATCATATCCAGTTTGTCGCTCGCATCTTGCATWCGWCGGTTSACWATGTCTATCACGTGGTTTATTTCTTTTGCGGAGGCTTTTTCAATGACTGGGGCTAGTTCTTTATTTATTAAATTCATCTTTTCCAGACGTTTTTGATTTGCGTCACGTTCTTCGCATCGGATCTACAA